GTGTGTGTGTGTGTGTGTGTGTGTGTGTGTGTGTGTGTGAGAGAGAGAGAGAGAGAGAGAGAGAGAGAGGGAGAGAGAGAGAGTGAGTGAGTTTCCATCAGTCGGTTGCCTCCCCCCGTCGTGCATCACCTGACGCATTTGCTTTTGCGAGCGAAGCCGCAAAAGGTCATCTAGTTCTTTTTTCATAGTCTTTATAGTCTTTATTGACGTTTTTTTATTTAATCATTTTTAATTGGAAAAGCATAGCCAATGCGAGGAACGCATGTTTTGCCACGATTCCCACTGTGCAAATTAGATGAGGATACTCACATTGGGACTCTTTGGTCAGAATCTGGCCCGAATGATGACCACTTTCATTCAAGATAAGCCTGCTCCCCTTCTTAATGTCATTATTCATTTTGATGTCATAGGGGTCTCAAAAGAGGTCCACCTTTTTTGGACACCAAAATGGATCATACTCTCACAGTAGGACTATCTCGAATGAATTTGCTCGTCATTGGGGCCGGATTCAGGAAAAAAAAGCTCACCTTTTTCTTCAAATTGTGCTCAGGATCTTCAGAATCATTCAGTGCGCTTCCTGTTCAGAGACAGGATTGAACTTCGCCCGCCTCTTCTTTTTTTTCCCCAGATGTGTAGACTCTTGTGCCTGCAGCTCCCTGCTCGTATTGTTCTGCTTTCGCCAACGAAAAATGTAGACTGCCTGATGAATTTGCTCATCATTGGGGCCAGATTCAGAAGCAGAAACTTGCCTTTTTTTGTGCAGCTCCCTCCTGCTACTGTCCTGCTTTCGCAAACAAAAAATGTAGACCGTCCAATGAATCTGCTCGTCATTGGGCCCAGATTCAGAAGCAGAAACTCAACTTTTTTTGTGGATCTGCGGAGTTTGTGCCTGCAGCTCCTCCTCCTGTTGTTGTTGTTCTGCTTTTGCGAACAAAAAATATCTACTTTTGGTTGAATTTGCTCGTGATTGGGGCCAGATTCAGGAGCAGAAACTCACCTTTTTTGTCCTGAATCTGTGGACATTTTGCCTACTGCTCATCCTCTTGTTCTGCTTTTGCCGACGGAAAGTATCGACTCCCGAAACGAATTTGTTTGTAATCAGGGCCAGATTCTGAAGCAGAAACTCACCTTTTTCTTTTTGTATTTCTGGACTTTTTTGCTTGCAGCTCCTCCCCCTCTTGTTTGGTCTAAGTTAATAAAACCAACTAATTCTAGTGTTTTTTCACTGTAATGTACTACCAGCAGCACCTGTACTGTACATTATATGCTATATACTATTATACTATATTGTATAATAAATACGCTTCATATGGAACGGCTAGTTCCAAAGTTAGTTCCAAAGTAGTTCCAAAGTTAGTTCCAAAGTAGTTCCAAAGTTAGTTCCAAAGTTCCAAAGTAGTTCCAAAGTTAGTTCCAAAGTAGTTCCAAAGTAGTTCCAAAGTTAGTTTCAAGTAGTTCCAAAGTAGTTCCAAATTGGTTCCAAAGTTGGTTCCAAAGTCGGTGGCAAAGTTAGTTCCAAAGTAGTTCCAAAGTAGTTCCAAAGTAGTTCCAAAGAAGTTCCAAAGTAGTTCCAAAGCAGTTTCAAGGTTTGGTTCTACCATCAATCCCTTTCTTTTCCTGTAGGCATATGTCGGAGAAGATACGGAGGTACTAGTATAGTACACGGCCCTCGTACAAGGAAAGATAGTGTAATTGCAAGTGATATTCTGAGGCATCAGAATATCCATGAATGAACGGTGTCGATTGAATTGATTAAGGGTTGTCTTTCTTGTTGAATCCCTCTCCGATGACCAGTGTGGTTTGGCAGAGTTTCCTCTCTGAATGGTGGTTTGAAGAAGCAGCCCAGCCTTGCATTTCTCTCGATCGACGTCTTACGGAGTCTCACTCACTCATGGATGCTTTTGTTGTTCGATGTTGTTTTCCGTACCTTTGTAGGACGAGATACAGAAGACTTCAACAGAAAATGTCCGGATGCACGTAAAGGATCTGGTGACCCTACATTGCCTAACGACAGAATGGTGGTAATAGAGGATGACGACGAAGTGGCTGACGGCTCTCCTCGGAGGAATGAAAACTTGGCCTATGGCGACGATGCCAACAGGTCCTTGGATATGGAGGACCGCGCTCTGCAAGATAGGGGGGAAGGAGTCCATGACAGCAATGCACGTACCGACAAGATTGCCGCCTTAACTCCTATCCCCCCCCACACGGTGGCGTTGATGGAGAATGCCTTGGGAGTGAAGCGAGAACCGGAGGGGTTCCTGATGATGCCATTCTCTTATAGTGGCAAGCGTCAGCAAGAGAAAACTGCAAGCATTGACTTGGGCTCGGCAGCAGCCGCAGTGGCGGCGGCGGTGGCAGCAGCAGCAACAGCAGCTGCAGCAGCAGAAGCGGCGGCAGCAGAGGGGATCGCGGAGGCAAGAGAAGCAACATGCGAGCGGCTTGAGCACGCGGAAGGAGATCGAGTGGAGTACGTCGAGGAGAAGAAGAGCTGTCTCTTATACACATCTAGATGTGTATAAGAGACAGCTCTTATAGTGGCAAGCGTCAGCAAGAGAAAACTGCAAGCATTGACTTGGGCTCGGCAGCAGCCGCAGTGGCGGCGGCGGTGGCAGCAGCAGCAACAGCAGCTGCAGCAGCAGAAGCGGCGGCAGCAGAGGGGATCGCGGAGGCAAGAGAAGCAACATGCGAGCGGCTTGAGCACGCGGAAGGAGATCGAGTGGAGTACGTCGAGGAGAAGAAGAGGGGTCGCAAACCTGGTGTTTGCAGACGAGAGAGGAGGCAAAAAACAGTGGTGACGGACCGATGGGAGAGTACGAACGAGGCGGAAGCTTTGTCGGGTAGTAATTTCAAGGAAGCCAAATCCAAGTCAGGTCGAAAACATTGTATTTATAACTGCGGCAAAGAATACGCTGCGCGATGCGGAGCACTGAGGCGGCACCAGCGCATCTGTCCGTCCAATCCAAATCGTTTCCGCGCGATTGTTCTGTACAGTCCGGGGCATGCGTCTTCAACCAGCAACAAGGAGGACACAAAAGGCTGCAAGCAAAAGGCGACTTGCCCGGATATCAAAGGCGCAGCTCTTGCAGATGGCGGCGGCGGCTTAACTGCTACGAGGAGGAGACAAGCATCCCTTGCTCCCAGGACTGAAAGCCAGAACGACAAGGTTCCCGGTGCAGAACTGATCGCGGCGCCAGGTATGAATGATCCGAGTTTTGTGACGAAATGTAATTGACACCATTCGACAGTGTAAAAAATGTTGCGTGCGCCGGGCGCCATTATAACGAGCGTGTTGTTGGTGCGTTGGTGGCGGAAAAAAAGCATACGCTAGGTAGGTTGGATAGAATCTCGTGTATACGTATACAATCCATTCTTATATACGAAAGAATGAATGTATACGAACCCGTCTGTTGCAGCCTATATCCGTTGCTTGTCCGTTCCTCCCTTGCTGCCTGTACGGTCGGATGGCCAGTGCTCTGCGACTAAAGACGCATAAAGACGCATACAACGTCTGTAAATGGAACAACTGACACGACGCATAAATGTACATATGTTACGATATGTGCGTATTGCTTATCTGAAGCAAGCAGCAGTGCGATGCGATGGTGGTGCGGCGTCGGCAGAGCAGGATTATCATCTCTGACACCGCATGCTCACAGATGGACTCGCACGTACGCTATATCATCAGGTAGCCTGAGGTAGGTAACCCTAGCTAAGGGAGTGTTGAGGGTCCAGCCTCCCGTTGAGTCGGCGAGCGTCCGACGAAACACTCTGTCCGATGAGTCAGTGAACGTCTGACGAAACACTCCGTCGGTGAGCGTCCGACGAAACACTCTGTCCGATGAGTCAGTGAACGTCTGACGAAACACTCTGTCACACCCCGCTGGTTTTTGTCCTTTTCCTCCGTATCTGTGTACTCTTCACTGGACGATCCTCTCAGTTCTCCCAGTTCTCCGCGACACACTATTGTCACATATTTGTGAACGAATAGAGCACACTTTGTTTGACAAATGCGGAAACGAGGGGACATCATGATGCATACTGAAACCGCGCTTTTTATCTTCATCTGTACACTTTTTTTCTTATTCTTTTTCTAGTTTATCCGTCACCACTCACTGTTCTGACTCTGTTCTGTTCCGGCGAGTGTCAGTCTGATTCATTTCCCGCAGCATCGTACAAGTATTACCCCGTGTTTTTTTTTTTTTTTTTTTTTTTTTT